GCCAGAGGCACTGGCTAGCACATGGACACCTTGCCTGGGGTACCTGGTGGCAGGTGCCCAGAAACATTCACCAGGGCACATCCAGCAGGGCGAGGAGCTGCTCCTGTTTCCCAAACCCTCTCTGATGTCTCAGGTTCCGGGAGGGTGTGTTGAGGGTGCCGACTGTCCTTTTGTACCCTCTGCTTTTCTGTGAGTCGCAGGCGGGCTGCTGTGTATCTGCTCATGGCTGTGACCGACACGGTCATGCAGAGGGCGAAAGAACACCAGGCGAGGCTGTCAACAGAAGGCACAGTTAGGAAGGGGCGAAGGGCTGTGACTGCAGGGCTTCCTGCTGGGGATCAGTCTGGTGAAAAAGCAGCTCCTGGTTCTACCCAATTTGGACCTGCACTTTGGATCACAAATTCCAGAGACCAGCCAGTGTGTTGTTTAGCCCAGTGGGTAGGAGAATGGATTCTGGAGTCATTGTGCTGGCTTTCCCCCATGGCCCCACCTCTTCTTAACTGTGTGACCTTGAGCTGGTTACTTCACCTCCTCATCTCAGTTTCCTCATGTGCAAAGCTGGAATAATATCAATGCTGCCACGCCAGGTTGTTGTGAGGAATTCAATGAGCTAATGCGTGGGGAGCACTGTTGCATATAAGCACTACTTCTTGTTGCCGTTGCTGTTGGCCCTAACCCAGGACGCTGGCACTGAGCACTGGAATTCTTATGTCCCTGTTCAGACTGAAAGCCTGTCCCATTCTGAGACGAAGGTCTGTACTTGCAATCTTCATAGAAGCCAGCATGGTGTTGAGAACGTGGTAATTTGCATGTACTTTATACCAAAGGCTGTTCACATGTTTGCATCGTTACGAGACAGAGAGAAGGGCTGGGTGATGGATGGTGAAGGTAACTTAGAGAAGAACAACAAAAGGTAGAGGTAAACAGATACACTTCTGGCTGGGTAATAATTAACATTATTGCACACCAGATGCTGTGATGAACCCAGGATTATCTCATTGAGCCTCACAGCAGCCCCTGGCGGGGGCACTGTCATGATCCCCATTTTACAGATGAGGAAGCTGGGACACAGAGTTCAGTAACTTGTCCACAGTCACCATGTAGAAAGTGGGACATCCTGGATTTGGCTCCAGACCCTGTGACCGGAGAGTCAGGTGGCTGACTTGCTAGACTCTGCTGCCTCCTGGTGCTCTCTGTGTATGTGGGTAACCAGGTACATCCCTCAGGGTTCTGGGTTGGGCTTGGCCTTGCTTAATGTTTTTATTAAATAGGTGATTATTCTAGTTTAAATGGGGGCAGAAATAGGAAAATAGTTGAAGGTAAACCCTGACAGTGAAAATATTTGGGGGAAAAAAATTCCCATTGTCCATAGGGGATACTATGCTCTGTGCTATCGGGTACAATTTAGGATAAGAGGAGAATTTTCCTAGTGTCTTCTGATGGCAGGAAGATTTGCTGCTGCAATCCCAAAATTTGATAAAATGCTGCACACCGTGCAAAAAGATGAGGGAGAGGAACTTCTGGGTTTTAATAGAAGGCTGACTTCAGGGCCTTATTGCATCTCTGTACACCCCCATTGAAAGGAGAAGAAAGGGACTGTATACTAGTGCGAACATACAAGGGCAAAGGGAACTGAAGAGGAGACATGGGAGGATGGGAAGCAGTTGTGAGAGGGATGAATAAGCCCCAGTGTGAGGGATTTCACACATAAAGTGTGTACGGAGAGCAGCACCAATAAGATAAGAAGGAGGTCTGTCATATTAGCCCCACTGAATCCTTGAGAGGCTCAGAACTTTGAGACACAAATACAGCACAAAAAAATCAGAGAACTGGCTAAAAATCTCTTTGATACCACAAATACTCTCTCCCTGTCTGTCCTTCCCCTAGGAGAGCAAAGGTTTATTCTCTGGAGAATAAACAAGAAGAAAGGCTCCAGATTTGGAGACAGCAGTCACAATGGAAGGCAGGGGAGAAGGGATGGCCTGAAAACAGGGGATGGCATGAAAATTTGCATATGGAGTGGGAAGCTGTCCAGCCCCTTTCCCATCCCTAACCTCAGAAACTATCAGTCAGGCACACACGCTCACCCCACTTCCTGCAGATATTGGAGGATTTTCCTCCAAAGACACTGAATGCTTGCAAAGAAAGAGCCTCTACAAATGAACATATGTGTGTGTTTTTGTGGGATGAAATTCCCAGATAAAATAGATGGCTCCATACCTATCTCTCTCTCTCTCTCTCTCTCTCTCTCTCTCTCTCTCACACACACACACACACACACACACACACACGTTTAACAGTAAATAAGTTCCAACCTTGCTCTAGAGCCTCCAGTGATTTTTATACATCACTTGACAATAAATGACCAACATCTGAAGGAAAGGCACAACATCAAATAGGGGGGAAAAGTATTCTAAAGGGAAGAGATAACACAAGGAACAGAGAAAACAGTGATAAAAAGAAAACCCTTTGGTTAATATCTTCAGGGAAATATGAGAAGATGCTGCATCAGTAAAGCCAGATCAGGATCCATGAAAAAGGAACAACTAGGCAACAAGAAACAGCACTTGGAAATTAAAATAAGATCCAAAATAATAATTCAATAGAAAGGTTAAAAGACAAGTAAAAGAAAAATTTTAGAAAATATTACAAAAAGAGAAAGAGATAGAAAATATAAGGGAAGCAATAAGACATTTAGATGATTAACCAAAAAGACCTAATATCTAATTAACAAGTGTTCTCTAAAAAGAGAACAGGAAACTTAGGAGAGAAAATAATCAAAGAAATAATACAAGAAAAATTCCCAGAATTCTAGGACATGAATATTCCAATTAAAGGGCCCACCAAGTACACGAAAGAAGAATGAATGTGAGGAAAAGAACATCAACAAGGGACATTATCATGACATTAAAGAACAACAGTAATAAAGAGAAGAAAACAAGAGGCCACCTACAAAGACACATGAATCAGAATGGTATTGACAGAAACAATAAATGCTAGAAGAAAAAAGAGCAGCATCTTCAAAATTCTGCGGGAGAATGATTTTCAACAAAGAATTGTGCACTCTGTCCTACTATTAATCAAGTGTAGAACATTGAATAAGTACATTTCCAGAGATGCAAGGAATAAAATAATTTGTCTCTTGTTGAACCATTTCTTAGAAAGCTACTGGAGGATGTGCTCCCACAAAATGTGGATATAAACTAAGATAATCCTATGGGACCTAGGAAGCAGTTTTCCAACATGAGAGTAGCAAAGAGAAATCTCATAATGATGGGTCTAGACAGCAAACAGTCCAAAACGGAGCAGGAAGATGGGGGGCTTTGGAGTGTTGGAAGGGTGAACTAGGGAGGGGATGGAATTGATTGATTGTAATTCTTAGAACTATTTGATTTTTTTTTTTTTTTAAAGATGACCAGTAAGGGGATCTCGATGCTTGGCTTGGTATTGTCAGCACCATGCTCAGCCAGTGAGCCAACTGGCCATCCCTATATAGGATCCGAACCCGTGGCCTTGGTGTTATCAGCACCACACTCTCCCAAATGAGCCATGGGCCAGCCCTAGAACTATTTGATTTTTAAAAGTTATTTGCATATATATTTTTATTAAATATTAAGTAATTAAAAATAGTAGGAAATAAAAACAGAACAAAATGATACTGGAAATAAATGGACCATTCTTCAGGCTCCTTTAGTGTTTGAGATTTGCTTCCACCTACAGCAACAGCTCAGTACAAACTGGCCACAGGTGAGAACCCACCTGCCATTCATCTGAGCTCTCCTGCAGCTATACTCCAAATTGTGTGTAATGCCGGTGATATCCCCTCAGAATCAATGACACTAGTTCGGAGAGAGGTGGCTAAAGTGACAGAAAGGTAGAGACAATGCTGTACAGAGAAACATTTGTAAAAATTAACATCTGAGGACTGGGAGGATGAAGACTTAGAAGAGTTCAAAATCTAATAAATCCCAAAGCATGTGGATCACAGCAACACAGACGTGTTCACCAAGTCTTAGGACAGGAGGATGAGGGAGTGAGCCCTGACAGTGTTATATTTTACAAAGAAGAAAGTAACGTAAGAGGTTCTTACATAGGATAAAACTGTGAGTATTCGTACACCTATTTTTAAGATGTAATATCCTCCGGAGGTTGTATTAGTCCATTTTCTGTCACTTATAACAGAATACCCAAAACTGGGTAATTTATAAAGGAACAAAATTTATTCCTTATGGTTTTGGAGGCTGGGAAGTCCAGGGTCTGGGGGGCACATCTAGTGGGGGCCTTCTGGGTGGGAACTCTCCATTGGGTCCCGTGGAGATGCAGGTAATCACATGGTGAGGATGGCAGGAGCTCTTTTATGTACTCTCCTTATAAAGCCACCACTCTACATCCATGATAACCCACTAAACCATCAACCCATTAACCCATGACTGGGTTAATTCATTCATGAGGACAGAGTCCTCATGATCCAATCACCTCTCAAAGGCCTCATCTTTCAAATACATAATCGGATTTCCCACCCTCTTAACACTGTTAAAATGGACATCAAGTTTCCAACACATGAACTCTTGGGGACACATTTAACCCATAGCAGAGGTCCACATCAAAGGGGACCCCTGTGGTTTTTTCTGTCATGGCTTTGTGTTTGCATTAGAAACAGGGGCTGGGTCTCCCATTGTTAAAGTATTCATTAGGACTTACAGCTCTGGACACTTTCCCCTATGCTGTGTTTAAGAATGTAATGACAAAGGCGTCTCCTTTTCTTGAGGACTTTACTGTGTGCCAAGCATTTTATACCTATAATCTCTTTTAATCTCTATAGAAACATTTCAGGCAGGTATTCTCACTTTGCAGGTGAGGAAACTGGGCTACAGAAGGGTTATGAAACTAACCAAAAGTCACAAGAGTAGCAGGTGTTAGTGGTATGACTAAGGTTGTCCTATAAAACCTCTGTGCATCTCTGCTGGTCCACTAGGCCTTGAGCACTGTGACCAAGCCACCTACCAATATGACCAGCCATGGTCCCACGTCTGAGGCCTCCAATCTTCTGGTCCAAGGTTAACAGTGATTTGAAAAATGGTTGTGTACATCATGTGGGCCACCATGCCTAGGAGCCCTGCACAAAGAAAGCTTTGTGAGCCACAGTTAAGTCACCACGATGGAAGAGTGTTTCTGCTTGCATGAGCTGGATGTAAGGAGCTCTCCAGCATCCTCCTTGCAGCCCCTCTTAGCAGCTGCCATGTTTCATGTATGCACTGATTTCTTAGTCATGAATCCACACTGTTCTGCGTGTCTCTCTGCCATTGCGTTCCTCCCATGACCACCTGTTTCCATGTTCTCATTCCACAGCATCCCTATGCCCAGAGACTCCCATGTTGCATCAACTCTTTCCCAGCACAGGTGAGGGGTCCTTGGGCTACATGTGGCCTACAGCCTACTTTACAGTGTTCTCTCATGTTTCTTTTTTTTTTTTTAAATTTGGATTATCTGCTACATAACAATTAAAAACTAGGACACTTTACAGAAAAATTGGAATATCTTCTGGCTATCATCAGTGGGACCTGAAGTCAGTTGTCAATGTGATCTCTCTCTCCTTTGTAAATGACTTGGTCTTTTCCTTTTCTAGAGACCTAGAGGATTTTTTCTTTAATAATTTTAGCACACGCCTAGGACTTGAATGTACTGTGTCAATTTTTCTAGGTACTTGGAGGGAGCTTTTTATGTATAGATTTTGGTCTTCTGTTGGAGAAAGTTTCCTTTAATTTTACTTTTAAATATTGATTATTTCATTGTTTTGTCCTTCTTTTTCAGGAAATCCACTTATGTTTATGTTTAATGTAATAAATGGATGGCAGGCTGTGGTCAAGTGTGGGCCAGCTTCAGCGGTCAAAATATAAAATTGTTTTAATTGGTGGGGGCAGTTATTTATATCTTAATGGGAATGTCTAAAGCCCTTATAATGTATCTGTGCTTGTATATCCTTAAACATCCCACCCGACTTGCCATTCCCACAGCTGAAACATCCAGAAGAGACTTCCAGAAAGAGGTCTCATACCATCAGTGAGGACCTTGGGGGATGCCAGGACCCAGGCAGGAGTCTGCAAGAGTCCACGGCCTGGTCCTTTGCTGTGAAGATCCAGAAATTGGATTTGATCTTCCTGTTCACTCACAACAAGACTTGAGAAAGATGTGTGACACTTATCAAGCACAGAAGATTGACAAACTGGACTGAGACACTATTAAATTAACACAGCTTTGTGCAAACAGCTGGAGAACTGAGGGAAGTCATTTGTTTAAGGTTCTTTCTGTGGTGAAAATGTCCACTTAGGAGACTAGATAAAGTTGCTCTGAAAGTTTCTCGGAGAACACAGAAGTAGAATAAAAAACAGGAGTTCTTCATTCTTATGGCATATTTACATCGCTTGGACAGTAATTTTTAAAAAGCTACTACTTATTGAGTACTTATTATATACGAGGTGCCCTCTATTTAGTCATCACCATAGCCTGTGAGATGCTTTATAGTGTTGTGTTTAAGAGGTTAAGTAACTTGCCCAGGGTCCCACACCCATTAAGCAGCAGCGATCTGAACCTGGGCAGGATTCCCCCCCCCAGACTCATGCCTAACCACTGTATTACATGAGGCCACTTTTTGTTCCCTCTTGTGATAAAAACACACCAGTAAATTTGATTTGCCCAGGGTCCCACACCCATTAAGCAGCAGCGATCTGAACCTGGGCAGGATTCCCCCCCCAGACTCATGCCTAACCACTGTATTACATGAGGCCACTTTTTGTTCCCTCTTGTGATAAAAACACACCAGTAAATTTGACTCTCCATCTGTGCCTACCACATTTCCTTTCATCAGTCATCCAAAGCATCATTGCTTGTGCCCAGTGGGACTAATTCAGTGCCTTATCCAGTGGACCAGCTGTCCTGCTGAACTGGCCATGGACAGGGAAGAGCCAGCCATGCTTCAGCCAGGGTCTGCCCGGCCCAAAGCTCTACGTTCCCTCTGGGGCAGGCCGTGGAGGATTTGCCTGATCTCACGATGCTGGTGGAAAGTACCTGCGAGCACCATGAGGATGGCTACCGAGGCATCCACCTTGAGCCAGTCAAGCCCAGAGCTGTGATCACTCACTCTGGAGCCCAGGAGGATGGCACTTGTCAGCAGCAGCAGGACATCCAGGACCTTAGCCCCAATGGACAGCCACAAGAGACCTGCAAAAGGAAGGGGTGACGGACATGCTGGGCATTTGCAATTCAGAAGTGCTGGAAGGTTCATCCCTTTGATTGCATTCATTTCTAAAACAAAATATAAAAAACAAATGCCTTGGAGTAAAAAAAAAAAAGAAAAAATGACAGATGCCTTTGATGCATCTTGGAAAGTCAGCAGTGAAAGAGGGCTTCTAGGGCCTGAAAGAGATGTTTGTAAAGATTGGGAAGGAAAAAAACTAAGCAAAAAACCCTGGTGTAAGGACATGAGAGATACTGAGAGGTCTTCATTCCCCAGCTTGAAAGTTAACATTTTGTTTTGATTCCATCAGAAGACATTATTGTTGCCTCTTTCAAGAAAAAGATACACAAACACGGGGGCAGAGGAGGCTGAGAGTTGAAGAGCCCTTTCTGGAGGTACCAAAACCTCATTTGTTTCTGTGTGAGTCACTTGTTCACCCTGTGGATGGAACCCCGCCTGTGGCTCTGAGAAACCCTGTGGGATGGGGAGGACAGAAAAGGGGGACAGGAAGGAAAACTGATGTTTGTGAAAGGCCTGCGATAGGGAAAGTTAGGTACTGGGAAGACAGCAATGGGTGAAACAGATGTGATCTATGCCCTCCCAAAACCTATCTCCCGGCTGGGAGAACAGATGCTAAGAAAGTCATGACAAATTGAATGAGTGTTATACAGAAGAAAAAGTGCTGTAGGCAGCAGTGTGTCGGAGCTCATCTCTTCCCAGCTCTGCATTCACCTTACACGGATGGCTTGAGATCAGCCATGGTGGGAATATTTGCACCACAGCAAGTGGCAGACACTACCAGCCAGGGCTCTCCCACCCCCTCCCAAGGCAGCTGTTGAATATTTGTCAGCACACCACTGGCCGTAGGGCACGTGAAGAGAGCCTGTGGCCCCAGCCTTTGCACTTGACTTCACAGAAAAACCAGAATAACTATCTCATCTTTCCCCCCACACCCAATAAAACAATAAAAATTGTCAGCATGAGTAAGGTATTTACCTTGTTCTTCAGCTGGTATGATACTCTGGAAACTCCTACACTTTTCCTCTAAAAAATAAAGAGAATGCATCCATAGTAGGATTAAACTTGACAATTAGGGGGAAATGGTGTTTCAAGCCCCTTAACTGTATCCCCATTCATTTTGAATGGGGAACAGGGAGTGGGGCAATTCTACTTTATTGCTGACAGACATGCAGCACCCTTCCCTGTGGGGCGTGATACGTCCACACTATGGAACTCGGGCTTGGCTATGTGCCTTTCTTTGGCCAATGAACTGGGAGTGCAAATGAGGTGGGTCACTTCTGGTCAGCAGCTTTAAGAGCCGACACATTGTTCACCCAGTTCTTGTTCCCTTGCTCTGTGAGCACAGGAGCACATGTCAAGGGGACTCCCTATCACCTTGGGTCCCCAAATGACTGTAAGGAGGAAAGACCCCTTGCCATGCCAATGAGAAAAGTTCACATGGAATAAACTAGAAATAAATTTGTTGGTTTGAACCACTGAAATTTGGGGGGTTGCTTGTTATTGCAGATAACCTGGCCCAACTGGACTAATACTGCTGGTCTTAGATCAGAGAGTCTCAGCTTCTAAAACAACATCCATTGTGATATGAATCTCAAGTAATTTGCTTCTGGTTAAAGGGAAAGTATTAAAGCTTGTAATAATTTTTAAAAAATGAATTAGAGCAGATTCAGAACCATCTCTCTGTTACTAAGACCCTGAATATGTGAGTCATCCAGTCTCTTCCCTCCCATCGTGCTTTTCTCAGTGTGAGAGAAAAGGAGTGATTGTGTGTGCCCAGAACCCACCAACAGACTCATTTATGTGCTCCAGGTTGAGTCCTTTGCATGTGAGTGTCATCTGTCATGTTGCACACATTGGCTGAAAAAGCTCAAGTCACTGCCTTCGATATGTAATTCCCTTGAAAATGCCAAGTCCATGAATATCCATATTTGGTGTGCAAATATAACCAAATTCTGGTTTGGGAGTGAGTGACAGATGGATGATTGAGACTATAACAAATCACCCTCTGGGATCCTGTACCAGTGAGGTGCCACACTCTCTGTGCATTAACATGTCTGCCCAAAACAGAATCATTGTCAAGTGGGGAGAGTCTGGAAAATCATCTGTCTCACCCCTGCACAGTGTGGAGGAGTGGATCTGAGGACCTCGGAGGGAAAATGACTTGCACAAGACAACACAGGTGGAGGCGGCTTTAGCATGTGAACTCAAGTTTGCAAAGGCTGGGCCCAATGCTGTCCTGCTTTTCAGTGATTTAATGCAATCCATTGGGCAGAGGGAAAGTGTCAGGGGACATGAAGATGCCTGAGACACAGGGAGCTGCCCCTAGTCTGGCCTGGTAGTGATACAGGATGTGCTCAGTTTCCCTGGGCTGGGGTTTCAGGACATGCCTCTGGGTTTCCAGCCACCCGCTGAGGTCTCAGCCCCTCTCCTCTAAGCTCTCCCCTGGAGGAAAGTTACTGCTGCCAGTTAGACCTATTCTTTTTTTTTTTTTTTTTGTCTTTTGTCTTTTTCCATGTCCGGCAACGGATCGCACCCCTCAGTGTTGCTCCCGCGCCTCGCTCAGCCAGTGAGCGGGAACCGGTCTGTATGTGGGATCCGAACCCTCGGACGGGAGCGCCGCCGCGCTTCCCAAGCGGCGCACTTATCCAGTGCGCCACCGGGCCGGCCCAGTTAGACCTATTCTTAGCACAAACATGGGGAAAATGAGACAACAGGGGGCTGGCTTATACAATCCAGTGGCTGGGCATGCTCAATAGAGAGCACAGAACATTCTGGTGCATACAACTGGGAACTACTCCCTTAATTGAATATTCACTAGATAGAAAAACTATAAAAGCCAAATCCCAGCTGAAGGCAGGTTGCCGCTCACTTTTCTGGTGGCAAGCTGCACTTCCCTAGCTGAGGTGTGTATACTTTAGTTTGTATCTAACTTACTTTCAGTAAGCAGCTGCTCACTCTCTTGAGCCAGCCTGCACTCTTACTGAACTTCGAGTATGTTTTTCTGGCTTTCATGTTAGACTTGATGCATGTACTGAACTTACTTTTGTGTTAAGCTTTGTGTAGGCCCTGCTCAGTCTCTGGAGCGTGCTGCACTCTTTCCATGGAACCTGTATTTCTTATCTATTTTATTAAACTTGTTCTTACTTTCTACTGTGACTCTGCCCTTGAACTCTTTCCTCTGGAGGAGTCAAGAACCTGATAAGAGTCCTGGGTGGGTTGAAGCTGACTGTTGGGTCCCTTGGACCCTACCTCTGACATCAGTAGGAGCTAAAACAGAGCAAGGTGCAAAAACTATGGGGCGTATTTCATTGACTCTTCAAAGAAATGGCTTTCTTATCTCTAAAACAGGTTCAATAGTCTCCACACTAGCCATGCTTTGAGGATTAGATGGGATAATACACAGGAAGGCATCTATCACAGTTAATATGCACATACGTCTTTTTTTGGAGGCTGGCCAGTATGGGGATCTGAATCCTTGACCATGGTGTCACCACGCTCTAACCAACTGACCTAACCAGCCATCCCTGCACATACATCCTGTTGGAATAAAATGAGTTCTATTAGGGCTTTTTTGCATGTAGTTAGCATGAATTCATTCCTAGACTCTGAGTACCCCGAGGGCAAGGATCATGTCAGTTACTTTTTCTGGAAGTTTCCAGGAACAGAAGGAAGTCTGGGGAGCATTTTTAGATCTCAGAAAATATTTTTCTTTTATAGGAGAGAAAATGCCAAAACTTAGCATTCCTATTTGAGAACTCACAATGGCTCCCTATCTCTCCTGGCATCAAGTCTAAATTCCTCCAGGCTTTTATGCCCTCTCTCTGTCAACCTGGTCTCCCAACACAGAGCTCATCTTGCTGCTGCCTTAGCACAGCCCAGCGTTCACCTTCCACCTCATCTGGTCACTTGGTGTCTTGTCATTTCAGGCTGCTGTGACAAAGTACCATAGACTGGGCGGCTTATCAACAACAGAAATTTGCTCTCCAGTTCTAGAGGCTGGAAGACTGAATCAGGATGCTAGTACAGTTGCGTTCTGGTGAGGGCTCTCTTCTGGTTTGCAGACAGCTGCCTTCTTGTGTCTTCCCAGGGCAGGAAGAAAACTAGCTAGTTCTCTGGCCTCTTCTTATAAGGGCTCTAATCCCATTCAGGAGGGCTCCACTCTCATGACCTAATCACCTCTCAAAGGCCCCACCTCCAAATACCATCACATTGGGATTAGGGTTTCAATACATAAATTTGGGGGGAGACAAACACTTAGTTTATAACATACAGGAAAGATCATACATATGCACAGGCACACACTTTTGATGGTGCATGTCTAAAGATCATAAACCTCAGCCTCCTTACTTCACACTTCTGTGTTGTCCCTCTGCTGAGCCAAAGGAAGAAGAGAAACAAAGCCTGGGCATATGACACAACCATTTGGTCGAGTTTCTCCACTGGGATGGGTTCTGATCTGAACGCCAGGAATTCATCTGTCNCATTTGGTCGAGTTTCTCCACTGGGATGGGTTCTGATCTGAACGCCAGGAATTCATCTGTCACATACCTGTCCACAACAAATGGCCTGAAGGAGGGTGTTTCCACAACCTGGGGCTGAGGGCCACAGAATCAGGGACCTGTCAGTTTGTCTGAAGCTACAGTAGCCTCTGCAGTATTTTAATTAAGTCAGCTTTGGATTAATGCAATTGAACACTGATTCTCTGATGTTGGCAGTGGCAGCAGTATCATGATCACAGTGGCAATGATTTGTCTGTGTCTCCTCAGTCTACCTGGAGCTCCCACAGCACTGGGGAAATCTCAGTCCTCACACCCTGCTCTCTCGCAGAGCATTTTGGGGCTGGTGCAGCACTTTTTCCACTTCACCTCATCCCAGCCTAACCACAGCCCCATGCATCAGGCTTGCAGCGAGAATAGCAGGTGGATACCAAGGAGAAGATGTGGCATTTAAATCCGAAAGGCCTGGCTTCTATACCTGGTTCTCCCATGGTCAGTAATCACAGGAAGCTTCCTGATCTCTCCGAGCTTCACTTTCTTTGCCTGCAAAATGGGTGCAGTAAAAGTTCTCCAATGAGGAAGTTGTGAAGGTATTTTGTGATCTGCCTTACATGCTTTAGTGTGTTTAAGTGTTGATAGAGGCAAGTACAAGTATCTCTGTTTTACAGCTTTGGCAGCTAGGCTCAGACAGGTTGGTAGAGTCAGGAATTGAATGACAACCGTGCTTTTCCACCTAAGACTCAGTACCTTTTTCCACGTCACCACCCGCTGCTTCTCTTCCTAAGGCATGGAGGAGTTAGGGTCTAGCTGGTCTTCTGAAGAGAGCTGCCCCTTCCAACAGCAAGGACAATGAGGCCAGGTACAGAGCCAGGGCACGGCAAAGGGTGGCGGGCCAGCCAAGGAGAAGAAGAGAGTTTGCAATAGCTTAGAAGCGTGAGTTTAGCTGGGGCCCAAGAGTCAGACCATAGTGGTCCCTTGATTAATACGAATCCTCAGAAGTGATGTTCCTTTTGAATGAAGCCAGCAGGATTAAAAGGAAAAAGCTGAATAAATCCCATGAAGCCAGAGAGGCGGGAGTGACATAGCTTGACAGAGCTTCGGCAGCCAAGCAGCGCAGCAAGCCAGCTCCCGGAGGTGGCGCCCGAGTCCCCCGAGCCTGACTGGCAGCCCCACCTGTTATTCGTCCCCAGTCCCCCCCGGGGTGCCCAGGGCCGTCTGTCCTTGAACTTTGTGAGTCGATCAGAATGGCATAGAATCTAAAATCTACTCACTTAAGGAAAAAAGAACATTTCATCTAAGGGCTGCCTCTACCAGAAATTTTTATTTTAAATCTTCACTTCAGAGTGTGGAGTAAAAGGTCTGGGCTCCCTTCTGAGGCATGCTAGGTGCAGGGTAGAAAGGGCAGAACTCTCCAAGGTGGCTTGTGCAGAGGATGCCTTGTCATCGCACACCAGCTAACGTCCCTGGACGGTCAACTTTCAAGGAGATGGAGCTAATTCAGAAGGAGAGCCCCCAGCGAGGCCCCACAGGGCAGCACAGCGGGGGTAGGTGGACACCCAGAAGCCCCTTTCCTGGACTTGTGTAGGGCCAAGGAGCATCCTCCCCAGCTGGGAGTCCTCTCCACCAGCTCTACTGAATTCATCTCGCCTCTCCTGATCTTCTCTCCAAAGCACTGTTTGAGCTTCTTCCCGTTTACCTATAGTCCTGACCCCTTTCTTATGCCCCCAATCTCCCAGGCACATGTGATCTATTAGACTAAATAGCAGATGTGTGTCTGGCGCAACCTCCAAAGGGGGTCCCCAGGCTACACTCTGTGGCTGACATGATGTCTTTGGCTTTTGCAATGCTTCAAAGATATTTTAAAATTGGGAAAATTTACAAAGAAATACAAATATCTTACTGCCCTTGGAAAATTAGAGTATCTGACAGTATTGGACTCATGAGCGCACATGACCATAGAGCTGAGCTGAGCAAGAGGCTGTCCCTTCCCTGAGGCACGAAGTGTCAAGGTCACTGACATTCCCAGCTAGCCCCACGTCATAGCACCTGCTTTCGTTGCCACCTCCTATAGGTGTTTGAGTTTGTAATCCCTGGTGTATAGCTTTTGTTTTACCCTTTGATATGTTTGGTATTAATAACTTATTATTGAGTAAAAATTTGATTCTAAACTTTTGGCTTTAGGGGCACCCTGCCACTCATGGAGGTAATACATTTCTTGGGGTGGGGGGAACAGATGTTCTGGGGAAGATGTCCTTTTTTCCTTCTTAATAAGGTGACAGCAGTATTTAGAGATCCTGCTTTATCTGGATGACTGTATTATATTAAGAAATATACAAAACGTGAGCTGATGTTTTTTAGATTGATGGGCACAAAATTATTCATGAGCAATCATAAGAGTTGTTGCTCTTCAGTTTTGTACTTTGTGGGGTAATAGGAAAAGCCAGAGCTAAAAGTTAAGAAATCTGAGTTCCATGTCTGGCTTTGTCAGTGTCTAGCTGTACAACCTTCAGTTCTAGAACTCCATTTTCCCATCTGTAAAATGGCACTTTTTCTAGGTCAGCCTTTTCCAAAGTATGTTCCACTGAACACTAAATGTTAATTCTTATTATACATAAAAATTTTTCTATGGTCAATGAATCTTGGGAAACACTGGGATACATAATATTAAACAGGTTTCTATATTGTGGGGCTTCTCAGAGATTTTGATATGCTAATGTGCATTGTGAATTTCCAAGAAGAAAATGTAAAATGCAATCTTTTCCAAATTTGTTTGACTATCAGAACTATTTATGTCTATTTTTACAAAGAACATCTCAAAAAGCACCTCCGTGGAGTAATCTTTAGGAACATCGAGTGAGACACTTGACGTATCTTTCTGTCTGACATTAAGAACAGAGTTGCATATAAATCAGAAAGGGGTCAGGAAATACATCCTTTCTTTCTACTGGGTGTTGTTCATGAATCATTGAGAACACCAACTCTCTTAAGAATTCACTGTGTGTTCCTGACAATATAGGAAAAGCCCTTCAGTGGTGTGATCCAGGCAATGACAGGGTGTGTGTGTGTGTGTGTGTGAGGTTGTGTGTGAAATAAACACTCTGTGGTTTGGCAAAGTGCCAATAGGATTTCCTCCAGAGGAAGTTGTGTGTTCGTGACAATATAGGAAAAGCCCTTCAGTGGTGTGATCCAGGCAATGACAGGGTGTGTGTGTGTGTGAGGGTGTGTGTGAAATAAACACTCTGTGGTTTGGCAAAGTGCCAATAGGATTTCCTCCAGAGGAAGGTGCCTGAAAGAGCCTCACACAGTCTCTTAACTATGCTTTCAAACCGCGTTTTAAGCTGAGAAAAACCCCGCCCCCACATCGACCATGAACTGGGTAACAATTTTTTTTGTTAGAAATCTTGGGGACAGTGTATATTATCTACCTGCATAGTGTTTGTGTGACTCTGTGAGGCACGTCCCATATGCAGGTGGTCAGTTTTCAGTTGCTTCCAATCCCCCCTGAATGAACAGTTCCACCCTTTTCTGAAGTCCAGCCTGTGCAGTTTTTTTCTCCCAATTACTGAGGAAGTAGCTTCCATCTGTCTAATTTTCTAACTCTTGTCTTCAAGTTCAGGTTCTACTATGGCCCCACCTCCCACTGACATAATAAATTGTAAGCTTCCGATTTTCTTCAATTAGGCTTTTTCTTTCTAGGGAATGTTATTCTGCTCAGTCCCTTGTGCTGGAGTGACCATGGCCTTATGTGGCAGGGGAGGAGAAGCTGTCTCAAGTGACATATAAGAGCCATGGGACTTATGTTCTGTAAAGAGGCTTTCTCCCCTGCCTTGTGTTCCGATGCAAAGACCTGGGCTGTGCTATCTCAGACCTTTGCTCACTCAGTTCTTAGTGCAGCTCACTGGATCATTAGCTCTCAGCACTGTGGCTCACTCACCTTTGTATTCCCCTATTTGCTTAGCTCTGTGCCTGACACGGAAACACTTGTTAGTGAAATTGCTTCATGTTGTGCTAAATCCCCTCTTTCTAGAGAGCTTTGCTGAGGCATGCTTCTCTGACTTTAATGTGTTATAATCACCAGGGAATCTTATTAGAAATACAGATACCACCAGATAGGATGGAAAGTTGGGCAGAGTAAAAATATTAATGCTATGAGGATGGAAAAAGAAAAGGCAATGAGTAACTCCAGGAAAAGCAAAAAGCTGTACAAAACAATAATGTAATTATAGCATCCTCTTTGATGCTATAACGAACAATATTTATATAGTAGAACAACATCTATAAATTACTGGTTTATTCATTTAAATGAAACAGCAATATAACTTTTTAGGAAGATGACAGAGGGGGTATGCAGAATGTTGTGGTGTGAGAGAGTTAAATCTTATTTATTATAACAGGAGGTTAATAGATAATGTCTATGATGAGGATAGCAATGCCAACATGTTTTTTTGAAAATGAAAGTGAATATCAGAAGAGACAATTAAGTTAAAAGTGGTTTCCCATGAAGGGTGGGACTAAGTTATGGAGAGAGAAGGAGCAGGGGACTGTTGGTTTCTCAGTCAATCTCTTATTTGTGTGTAAATACAGGTAAAAACTTAAAAAAAAAAAAAGAATACCAATTTCTAGACCCTACCCCAGACCTACTGAATTAAAACCTCCAGAGCTGGGCACCTGGACTTTTTACAAACTCCCTGGGTGGTCTGATTCACACCAACATGTGATACCTGGCATGATGCTTATATATAGCTGTGGAAATAGAAGTAGGCCCTCAGAAGGGGACTTGGAAAGGAAGTGGAAGTTTCCAAGCAATTTGCCTATGCGTGTGGTGGCTATATTTTCCAAACCAAAAATCTGGGATTGTCTTGGGAACCTTCCAGGATGCAGAGTCATGAGCCTCCTGCATCTGCCTGTGAAGGTAGGAAGTAGACTTCTAGGAAGATGTCACTCCCCAAGAGGTGGTGGGGGAGGCCCCTCCAGTTGCCTTAGCTCCAGACACCACAGCAGTGTCTGAACTGCACTTAAAGCAAAGGCCACAGGCACTGACCTGGACATGTGGGAGGGCAAGGCTGGGCACTGTCCCTCAGTGGCCACCACTCAGGTGGGGCTGGGGAGGAGCATGCAGCATCTCAGAGGGTTCATTCTTGTTGCCTTTTACTTAGGCCTCAGGAAGAAAAAACAAATGCTGTGAGGACGGGAAAAGCAAAGGCAATTAGGAACTCCAGGAAAAGTAAAAAGCTGTAGAAGAAAACTAATGTAATAAGCCTAAAGTCAGAAGAGAAATGTGGATGGGTGGGGAAATCCTCCCCTTTCTGACTTTGTAGGTTTTGCTTCCCAAGCAGAAAGATAAGAATATCCTGGCCCTGAACACGAGCTTACAGTCAGGCTGCCTAATATTGAGGAGTCAAATTCCCCCTTCCTCAGTTCCTTGTGAGGTGAAAACACTCTTTTTTGAAGGGTTTGCTCTGAGACTATTCCAAGTACAGAAGAAATAACAGGGATGCATCTTAGGGTTGGGTGGGGGATTTTGAATACCAGGGACTAGGTGACAATAACAAATGCTAATATCCAGCAATGTGTCAACCACTGTTGTAAGTGCTTTGTGTGAACCCAGTCATTTAGTCTTTACAACAACTCTAGGAGATAAGTACTGCTATTATTCCCATTTAATAGATGAAAAACAGGCTCAGAGAGGTGAAGGGACTTGTTCAAACACACATAGACAGTGGCAGTCAGTGGCAGAGCTGGGATTCAAACCCAGGCAGCCCGGCTCCAGAGCCCCTGCTCCTGCCACCGTCCTGCACCTGTCGCCCCAGGAACCTGTGGCCGCACTCACCTGTGCCGCTGAGGCTCTCCTCGCAGGAGTGCCAGAGCCCCACGTGGAACTTGCGCTTGGTGAACCTGTCGTCCCCCATCTCCCAGATGTACTGAACAGCCTGGCTGTTGTCCCTCCGGCCACTGTCACTGTCCTGGCTGATGTGGATGCAGTGTGGCTCTCCCGGCTGCTCCTGACACAGCGGCTTCAACACCCGCCGGGTCCCCACACACCAGTGACTGCTGCCCAGGGCAGTGAGGGAGAAGGCAAGGGCGAGGCACGTGGGGAGGAGGCCCAGCACCCACCGCCGCCTGGCCCTGTCCATGGCTGTATGAGGCGGTGGCAGTGGGGTGAGCCTCGGCTCCTCCTCCCCACCCCCACCCGGGCACAGTGTCACCCTCCTCAGCCCTACCATCTGGTGTCCCCACACAGTCTCCTCTCATGTCCCCCTGGGGAATCTGTGTAGGCTGCTGTGGCTCATCCGTGTGAGCGCTGTGGCCTGAGAAGAGCACAGAGCTGTGACATGCTTCTGTCAAGAGCAGTGGCCCTTCAGTCCCTCCCAGGATGTAGATATGCAGGAGGGTGCCTTTTTAAAAATTGTGGTAAAATACACATAACATAAAATTTACCATCTTAACCGTTTTTAAGTGTACAGTTCCGTGGCACTAAGCGCACTCACACTGTCGTGCAGCCATCACCACCGTCCACGTGCAGAACGCTTTTCATCTCGCAAAACTGAAACTCTGTCCCCACTGAACACTCACTCCCCATCCCCTCCCCCCAGCCCCTGGCAGCCACCATTCTACTTTCTGTCTCTAGGAATCTGACTTCTCAGGTGTCTCATATGAATGGAATCACCTAGTATGGGTCTCTTTGTGTCTGGCTTATCTCACCTGGCACTCTGTCCTCAAAATCCATCCATGTCATAGCATGTGTCAGGATTTCCTGTCCACCGAAGGCAGAAGACTGCTCCGTCATGTTTGTTATATCACATTTTCTTATCCGCTTACCCATGGATGGACACTTGGGCTGCTTTCACCGTTTGCTATTGTGGAAGGTGCTGGTTCTGATTGATGCCCAGGGGCTGTTTGGGTGCGTGTCTGTGTGAGACTTCCCCACCCTGCCTTTTGCATTGAGCAGGGTCCTCAGTGCTGGATTCCAGGCACAGGGAATCCTGGGGACTTCATTGGCCTGCTTCTTGTGCAGCCCTATGGACAGAGGGACTACAGATGACAGCTCTTCCAGGGACTCTTGAGAGATGCAGGGGACAGGCAGGCTGCCTTGGTGCTGTGCATAAGGGGGAGGGCAGAATGCACCCCACATGGGTGCAGAATTCAGCACCATCTTGGACGTCAAACACTGGCAGACAGAGCCTCCAGCACTGCCACGCGTGTCCTCACCAAAAGGGGTGCAGGCAGGAGCGGTGATGGTGGAGATCCTTAAGGCACGCCTTGTCAAACAGTGGCAGACAGAGCCTCCAGCACTGTCACGTGTGTCCTCACCAAAAGGGGTGCAGGCAGGAGCGGTGATGGTGGAGATCCTTAAGGCACGCCTTGAGCAGAGGATACTGACAAAGGAGCAGGGGCAGGAGATTCCACGTGGCATCGAGAACACAGGCTCTGGATTACACGTCAGGCACCTGCTGAAGACCCCAGATAAGATTGTGCTCCATAAAGGTTGTCGAAGAATAGAATTAAAAGTTAATATGAACCTTTCCAAGAACTTTTTGAAGTACCTTTGTATAAAGGAGAATCTACCTGCCTGGGCAGGTAGGCGAAAAGGACAGTGACATTTGGGTTAATATCATTCCATCTGTTCTTTCCTGCTGGCGAAGTTTTACAAATCATGTGCATTTGAGTGACAGTTGGCTGCCCAGTGTCCTAGAAAGAGGTGTTACCATCTTTTATCCCTAGATGGCATCCATCCAACGAGTGGGGAAGTTGTGTGTGGACCTAACCCTGTCCCTTCCAAAAAAGATGTTTTTGAGAAAAAGTTCAAGGAGATACGAAACAATAGTCTTACAAAGCAGGCATTTTCTTTCTCACTGTGCCACTTGGAAGATAGTCTTCAATGTGCAGTCACAGAATAGCTTTGCAGCCACATCAGACGGATCAGAGCCCATCACCTGGGGACTTTCTCCCTCCATGTCACTTCCTCCTGGTCTCTGTTGTCCCAAAGAGATGATCACATCTACTCTAGAGGTCACACCAGCATAAGAGTCCATTGTTGGAGTCTTCGTTCAGATTGAGCATTTTACTGCTAAGGTTTAAAATCTTGTCACAAAGGGTTTTTAAGATTTCTAAGGATTTCTGTCAAGTAAAGCTCACCTGTTTTGCCCCATTGTTCAGAATTCACTCACTCAGACAAGGAGCTCATCAACCAAGATGAGCTCCTATGGTTTGACTTAAAGGAAAAAAACCCCAACGAAACAGAGTAAAAAACACGTTCTTGCCTGTTGCTGACCTGACGTTTCATCCAATCAGGACATCTGCCACCCGGCCTCCAGTTCAGGAGGCTGCGAAAAGTTGGAAGAGGATGCTGGGAGCTGGCCAGGGAGATGCGGGGTGAGAAGGACCAAGCAGAGCCTTTTAGAGGGACAGGAATGAGTCTTCTATAGAACAAGAGCTCATCCAGAGAAGGCAGGGGTAGGGAATGGCAGCTTCCAAAGTAGCTGTGGTCAGGTGACTTTGGTCAGGAGACCTGCCTGGCTCTGCCATTTATTCACTGTGTGGCTTTGGGCAAGCAGCCTACCCTCTCTGACACTCAATGTTTCTCAGCTGTCAAATGGAGAATCAGTAGTACCTTCATGGGGTTATTGTGAGGATGGGCGAAATAGGATGGTGGACGAAAAGATTTTGTCGATGTGAATTGTGGTGAGAATGCACTGATGTGTGGGTTAGTACGTGATGGATTATGAATTCCATAAAAGGATCTCCCTGGTAGGCTGAGTGACATGCATGCAGAACAGGTGGGCATCCAAGAGAAGTAAACATTGGCCTTTCCACACGTTGTTTTGCTATTGGGTAGACACAACCCTAGTCAGTGATTGGGTTTTTGCTTCAGACCCTGGGTGAGGAGCTGCTCTCTCCTGAGTCAGGCAACTGCCTCTCCTGTAGTCTCAGCATAACCGGCCCAGAGGAGGCCCTGCTTTTGTGACTGGTCTCAGTGCAGCTTGGACAAGCTTAATGCCTTAGAAAGAAATATCCCTTTTTACAAAGACACCCGCCTCTGAACTCGTTTGAGGTCCATCTTCTCTTGCCAGCTGTTCCTCCGCAGCTCGAACCCGAGCCTGCCTGGCCCTGGCCCTGTGCATTGAGCAGAACCCTCTGGGCGGGACCCGCTGACCGCATTGCTTTTCCTCCTCGGCCTACTGAAGAAGTCCCAGCAAGCACAGCTGACTTGGGAAGGTCTGGGAAAAATCTCCCTGCTTTTGGGGGGGCCGGGGCGGGGGATGAGCCACTGTTGATGAGAAACTTGCAAGATTCGGTAGATGGCTCTAGACCAGTTCAGACGCTCTGGGCGCGGCGTGGACAGGATCTGTGCAAACATTTCCTCTCTCAACAAAGAGGAACGTGAGAAGAGGCTGCCTGTGGTACCTCCTGGACTGTGAGAGGACGTGCCCGCACTTGTGAGGCGTGGACAGGATCTGTGCAAACATTTCCTCTCTCAACAAAGAGGGACGTGAGAAGAGGCTGCCTGTGGTACCTCCTGGACTGTGAGAGGACGTGCCCGCACTTGTGAAACTGTGCAAGGACGCCGAGGCTGGACCTGAGCAGGGCAGGGCCTGGCAGAAGAAGAGCGGAGTCCCCGCCTGGGGTCCCCATGGGCTTCCCTGCTCCCCGGGGGACCGGCCCTTTCCCCTACCCCAGGAAGCACCCTCTCTGGGCCCCTGGGAGGCTCTTCCTGGCCCTGGTGCTGCTGGTTTCCATCAAGCAAGTAAGAGCATTTGTTATTATTATTCATTGTTATTATTAATATCAGGTGTGCATATGTTCTGATTATAGAAGCAATTTAGGGGTCTTGTAGGCAATCTGGAAAATAGAAAACAGTATTAAGAAAATAATGATCAACCATAATGCTAGCATTCAGAGGTAATCACTTTTAATATTTTAGCATATTTTCCTCATATCCTTTTTATATGCTTTTTTTTTTTTTTAACACAGCTGAAATTATAAAGCATGAAACATTCTGTATTCCGGTTTCCCCTTTACATCATATTATGAGCATTTTCCCATGTCAGTGTGAACTCTAAATAGCATTTAAAATAGCAGCATGTATCCTCCCGTATACCGTTAGCATTCTCTCCAATTTGGGTATTTAGGTTGAATGAATAGCTCCTTCCTTCCTTCCTTCCTTC